AACCATGACTTTATTGGGAAACATGGAATTTTAGTTTTTAAGAACTCTTCTTTTTCATTAAGTTTTTTATCTGAACTGCAATGTTATTTAATAAAGTGGGCCTGGGAATGGGTATAATTATTCCTTTGGAAAGCCGGCCCTTTGAGTTTTTTTTTAATATTTGTTGCTACTGATCAGTTCTTATAGTTTTTATGGAATGCCTAAAAGTATGTGAAGATTTCTCAGATCGCACATCTATATTCCATTTTTTTCAATTCAGTATCTCGTCACCTATTGAAGGTATTGTAATGAAAATTGTTATCATTGGAGTTAAGCACTCAAGGTCAAGTTGATCACTATGGGTATTAAGAAATTTAAGAAAAAAGGGTATTTGGCAAACGATCTTGTAATAGTTCTAAGATGCAAGGGGTTAGTTAAAAGAACTACATGCGACTTGTGGATATGTTCAAACAAATGGGATGAATGTTTTTAAATTTGAAGATTAAATTAATGTTTAATTTAAAAACTCCAAACAGTAATTATAAAGAAAAGTTCCAGATTTGCTGAAACTTAAACTACAATTATCCAAAATCTTATATCGTATCACTTCATCCGATTTAATTTAAGTTTTCTTTATACCGTACATAGATCACCGAATATGAAGTTCTATGCATAAGAACAAGTGATCGGTTCATATAATATTCATAAAATGCCTAAAAATATGTGAAGGTTTTTTTGATCTTCTTATGATAAAAGTCTACCGATAATAACACTTTTTGATCTGATCGATTTTTAATAAGTTTTAATTGAACTTTTTCCTAAAGTTAAATTTGTTACAATTAGATCTATATACATACATATATCTATCATTTAAGATATATGTATATATGTATTATATATTGAGTAAATTTTGAGTTTATATAAAATGAATGATTTCTTTTAAATTGCTGCCCTTAATGTCACCTAAGATATGTATGCGTTAGATACAAACGCACATAACCAAATAGCAAAAATTGAGGTATTCATAAATTTTGCTTAGAATCCACACAAAAGATATATTAAGAAGTAAAACTAGAGCAAGGGAAGGGAGTCTATCTAAAAAAGCTTTAGCCCATCATACATTCGACAGCACACATAAACACACACTCAAATTCAACCCATTTCTAAAACCTCCACCTTTCCCGTTTATCCTTGAAGTAGTCAATTTCATCACGGCAAAAAAAAAACGGTGATAAAAATGCTTCTTATGTATATTTGAAAAATAAATTTTGCAAATTCGTTTTTCATTTTAATGTTTCTTTCAGTCGTCTGTATTGCTTGTTAAGAAGTATGAAAAAAATAAGACATTGATAAAGTCTCGCGGGTATTCCAAAGCTATAGTTGCTTCAATGTTTATAGCTGCAAAACACTTATGGTAGCTTTTTCAAGCCTTCCTTCGAAGTTATTACTACAACAATTCTTGGTAAGGCTGCTGGTAGTCAATAAGTTTGTGTAGACATTTTTGCTTCAAGAGAAAATTACATTTTCACCGGAAAGATACTCACAAGAACTGTGGTGTATTATTTGGAATCTACATACCCTTAGATAAAAACACAAAAAAAGAGAAAGGTTTGTTAGGGGCCATACAAATACGCATTTTAAACAGTGACATTATAGAAAGGTGGGGACTAATAATTTTTCATATTTGGACTTAAAGTTGTGTGGCTTAAACAAATTTCAAGTAAAATTTTTAGTTTATTTAAATACGATTTCAAGCTAATCCTGTTTCATACTTCTCATCTGTCTTTTGTTAAGTGTAGTTACTCAAACACATACATACATACATATGTATATTTATATATATTCAGCTTCATCATCAACTCAGGATGTTACCAACGGATACATTTCTACTTTGACAACTTATCTTAGAAGCAGCCAGCAATCATGAAAGAACGTAATATATTGTTGCTGCTATAGCTTTGTGTTTAGTGTTTTGGTGTGTCGCTGGCGTCAAGACTGTCAGTCTGAATATTTTTTCAATACTTATTTGTTTATCTACATACATACCAACACATACATATGTATGTATATGAACACTTTTGTTGTTTTATATCCTTTCGTTGCCTGATAACAACAGTAACACAAATTATTTTATTTTCTATTTTTTTTATCCTTAAGAAATCATTTTAATTTTTTTTGTTGTTTAGGAACAAGCTGAAAATTTTAGAATTTTAATAAACGATAAGAAATATGCCATTAAAGGAATTTTGTTAAATTATATTAGAAAATCGATCTATATATTTTGATATATAAAGAGAGAAATATTAATATTAAGTAGTAAAGGCATTAAATTTCAAAAATAACTTGAAACGGATAACGGATCTTTAAAGATTTAAAATTTGATTAGAAAAATCAAACATAAAAAGCCTTCTATTTATACCCTACACCACTATGGTGGAGAGGGTATTATACGTTTGTTTTGGTAATGGTCCTACTACACCCACCTTAAAGTATACCGGAACAAGGACGATGCCCATTGAAAATGGTTGAAATCGGTCCATTGATTCACATAGCCCCCATACAACCTAACCTTTCGATTTGACGATCGGCCCATATAAAGCCTCTTTTAGACATTTTGTTTTTCATCCATAAGTTGCTTAAATACATCGGATTTAAGGTGAAATTCAACATAAAAGTTAAATCGGCCATGCCCGACTATACTTTACTAGTTGTTTTAGGTTATATTCTAATAGCTTCTGAACTGTTGATAATATCAAAGAAATGATAAAAATAATATGAAGTATAATGTTACCTAATTGTTAGTTCCAAAGCAATACACTTTTCTGTTATTTAAAACTTCTCTAGAATTAGTGGGCGTGGCAATAGTTCATTTCTTCTAAGTTATAAGTAAATTTGTTAAGTAATTAGTTTGTTCAGTTAGTTTTAAAAAAGGATGTATGTTACATCAGTTCCGAACCCACAACTTCGAAGGAGGCATCAAAAACAGTTTTGTACAGAAACTTTTCTTCAGAAACTTTTTTTGGAATAATTCTATATTTCCTAATGATTAAAGGAAACAGTAACTGATGTGATCTCGAGTTCACTTTCAACTGTTCGCCTTCCTAGTTGTAATAGAGGCAATTTAGTGGGATCACAAAATTGGTTTTATTGATCCTGAAGTTTGTTTGAAATCGACAATAATGATCGTATAAAATAAACTTTAAAATCATATACATATTTTACCCCATAAGTATGCCCAGAAGAAGACTTCACGAATTCCTATAAAGGACCAAGAAAATCATGGTCCTACCTACATGGGGTTATAGCTGAAGATTTGAGTTCTGATGTTACTGTCCCTCTTTCGATGATCGTGTTCTATAACTCATTAACTACGCAATAATAATTGAAGTACATGATCCATTTAGGTAATGAAAAACTACTCCCTTGCAAACATTGTATGAGTATATGATCCCTTAAATAGTCCTATGTAATGTAAATAGCATGGTCCATGGCATTACATAGGATCATGTTGTAGTCCCATAATCAGTAGTTTTGGGATTTGTCTGACGTAATACATGTTTGGATTACTTGGTCCTCGCCTAGAACATTCAAATGTTAAATGGAACATGTTTCCCTACATATTTGGATTAGTTTTGGACCAGTCCTACTCCTTTGCGGAGTTCTCTTTTTACTCGTACAGAGCAGAGCTGTTTCAATTTCAGGAAAGGGGAATATGAATAAACTTTTGCGGAACAGTATAGTCGAAATAACATATTTCGCTTCTGCATTGGCAATAACATTTCACCGAATTTGCTCGTCTTCTGAAATCCAAAACAATGTCGTCTTAGTTGGAACTCCCTGTTCAACGCAATTCGAGTGTAGAGAGACTTTTAGAACAGTACTATTCCTTTGCGGAGTACTCCCTACAGACGTGAGCAGAGCAGGAATGGAAATATGAATATACTTTTGCGAATCAGTATCGTCCAAGTACTATCTTTTGCTCCTGCATTGTCAATAACATTTCACCGAATGTGTTCGTCTTCTGAAATCCAAAACAGTATCGTCTTAGTTGGAACTCCCTGTTCAACGCAATTCGAGTGTAGAGAGACCTTTAAAACAGTACTATTCCTTTGCGGAGTACTCCCTATAGACATGAGCAGAGCAGGAATGGAAATATGAATAAACTTTTGCGAAACAATTTCGTCCAAGTACTATCTATAGCTACTGCATTGGCAATAACATTACACCGATTGTCCTCGTAACACAACATATTAAAACATTTCCGCCCACTAGCTTTTCAAAAATTACAATTTTGAATGCAACTCAAGCAGAGGACTGCCTTTCAAATCTAGTAAAAAACAAGGCTCTAATATCTAACCACTCGACCCTATCGAGAATAGACCATAAGTTCAAAATCCGTATTTGACTTCGCGATTGAAGTTTCTAATGGGTCTCCGCTATATCTGAGATTCAACATACTTTCAATTTAAAATAGGGTTCTTGTATTTGTACTTACCTTTTCTGAAAGAAAACAACTGTAAACTTTTTTTATAATTATGCTGCTCAAGAATCGATTTATTTAAATTTAAAAAAAATTAGAAAAAACACAAATTATTGTTAAACAATTAGAAAATTAAATGAGTTTATATAAAATTTAGATTCAAAAACTTTAGAAAATAATCGATCCGAGTTTAAGAAAGACCTGAAGGTCTTTAATTAGGAGGAGGAAACAATTTAATGGTGGAGTGTTCAAATTTTTTGACGTTTTCATTGACATTGTTTTAAATAAAGCATTTTGGTTAATAGTTTCGACTATGGGGTTTAGTTAACATTTTTAACGGAATTTAGTTTAAACTTTGTTTAGAAATTTCCCACAGAATTTAGATTACATTTTACATTTAATTTGATTTAATCAATATTAACAATTACCCAATTCACAGCCTGTGTCGTATAGCTGTATGATAAAATGTTAATACAACGCTACAGCACAGGTTGTGAATAGGATAATTGTATGAAGGTTGACATTTTAAATTGTTGGTTCAAGTTTTAGTTAAATAATAAATTTAAAACGGGGCTTTAATGTTGGACTTTTCTTGAAATAAAGAGAAACTAAAGTTAGTACATTTAAATTAAAAATTTTGTAAAATATTTAAAAATATCAAAAGCTAAAAGTTAATTAAAGTAAAGTGTTGATAAAACAACTTTAAAACAACAAAAACCATTAAATTTAGATCTCCTCCCCCTAAAGCCCCACATCGTTTACTCAGTCCAACGATGAGTACAATTTTGATTGGTACAAACATAGTACAATCTCATTTCCTCTTCAGCGCGTCGAGTTTGAGCCTGGAAAAATACCGACTCACGATGACCACACTTAGGGCACTCATGATCTTCTGTGCGCGGCAAGGTGGGATCCGAAATGACATCGGGGCAAATATGAGTTAATTCATCGATTTCGTGCATAATTTTGTTCACATAAATACAATTGGAATCGGCTTCCTGACGATAGTCACAATTACGACAGGCATACATGAGGACTTTGCTCTCCTTATCCTCTTTGGGATACAACATGTTGTTGCATTCTTGACAAAAGCGAATACCAACATAGCCGGGTCCTTCGTTAGAGGCAGCTTCAAATGATAAAGACATGGTTTTTTGTTTGCTTTGTTATTTGTTAATTAAATTTAAACGATTTTTTTTCCTCTGTCTCTGCTGCAAACGCTGCTTTAGTGATGCTCTGACAGTACAATGACTTTATGTACAAAATATAGTATGTATATTTGTTTTAACTTCAATGAGTCTGCAACGTTACTGTCAGCCTTGAACTTGAAACCTACTTAATTTAACTGTTGCTTAATTGAGTTTCTTTTTTTCTTTGGACTCTGCTGCTACTGCTACTACCTCGCACAGATACCGAATACAGCAGGTTGTTACGTCATTAAAAATCTCTGACTGCCTGTATTTACAACAATTTTGTTGTTGTGCTTTTTGTTTTTATGGGGGATTTCGCCGACTGCCAGGAGTATGCTGATGAGTATGGTCTCTGTAATGAAAAGGAAAAACAAAAAATGCATGTTTTTAGTAGTGTTTTTAATTTATACTCCTTATTTTCTTTGTTTGTGTGTTAATTTTTGTGTTTCACTATCTCAATTTGTTCCTATACACAAACCAACACACCCGAAAATAATTATAGAAATTTGAAAAGGATATAAGTATACACAACAACAAAAATGTATACTTAAAAACCTAAAATCAAAAATGGGGTGAGAGCAAAAACATAAAATTTTCCCATAGTAATGTTTAAAAAAAGAGAGCAGAGAGCATAAACTACCTATGGCAAGAAAGAGATGGTGAGAAAATTCACTGCTTAAGCCCACTAGCAAGAAAGAGTACAAGTGATTATTGTCCTTTATGCTTTTAGCGCTATTTTCTAAATTTTATTGCTTTTAGGTATCCTTTATAGTAAACTTATGCAATGCTCATGCGCATTGGTTAAAAATTAGCGGCAATTTGCTAAAGTTTCCCCTCAAACAAAATGTATGAAGGACGAAAGAAAGAGAATGTGAAAAACCAATAAATACACAAAGAAATTGGCAAAATTGCACATGTATGGAAGTGTGTGTAAAAATCAAATTCTGTATATATAGAGAGTGATGAAATAAAAACGATAAAAATAAATTTTTCATAGTAATGGCTGAAGCAGCAGCTAAAAAGGATATTAGTATGTTGATTTTTCAACATAAATGGCACTATGTTATAAAAAAAGGGGAATAATTGAATAATGGCCCATACAAGGTGCTTGAAAAATAGTACTTTTATCGTGGTTGTATCTAGTTTAAGTTCTAATTGATCAGCTTTTAATTGAACTTTAATTGCAAGAATTCTAACTATCAGTCAGATTGTATAGAATAGACTATAGTCCAGACTATAGTCAGTTTTATAGTCTGTTCTTTACTCTAGATTATATTTAATTTATTCACCAGTTTAGTTTGGACTATAGACAATTCTATAGTCCAGACTATAGACTATTCTATAGTCCAGACTATAGACTATTCTATAGTCCAGACTATAGACTATTCTATAGTCCAGACTATAGACTATTCTATAGTCCCGACTATAGACTATTCTATAGTCCAGACTATAGACTATTCTATAGTCCAGACTATAGAATATTGTATAGTCCAGACTATAGACTATTCTATAGTCCAGACTATAGACTATTCTATAGTCCAGACTATAGACTATTCTATAGTCCAGACTATAGACTATTATATAGTCCACACTATCGACTATTCTATATTCCAGACTATAGACTATTCTATAGTCCAGACTGTAGTTTTTTCTATAGTCCATACTATAGACTATTCTATGGTCCAGCCTATAGACTATTCTTCAGTCCAGACTATAGACTATTCTTTAGTCCAGACCATAGACTATTCTATAGTCCAGACTGTAGACTATTCTATAGTCCAGACTATAGACTATTCTATAGTCCAGACTATAGACGATTCTATAGTCCAGACTATAGACTATTCTATAGTCCAGACTATAGACTATTCTATAGTCCAGACTATAGACTATTCCATAGTCTAGACTATAGACTATTCCATAGTCCAGACTATAGACTATTCTATAGTCCAGACTATAGACTATTCTATAGTCCAGACTATAGACTATTCTATAGTCTAGACTATAGACTATTCTATAGTCGAGACTATAGACTATTCTATAGTCCAGACTATAGACTATTCTATAGTCCAGACTATAGACTATTCTATAGTCCAGACTATAGACTATTCTATAGTCCAGACTATAGACTATTCTATAGTCCAGACTATGGACTATTCTATAGTCCAGACTATAGACTATTCTATAGTCCAGACTATAGGCTATTCTATAGTCCAGACTATAGGCTATTCTATAGTCCAGACTATAGACTATTCCAGACTATAGACTATTCCAAAGTCCAGACTATAGACTATTCTATAGTCTAGAATATAGGCCAGACTATAGACTATTCTATAGTTCAGGCTATAGTCTATTCTATAGTCCAGACTATAGACTATTCTGTAGTCCAGACTATAGACTATTCTATAGTCCAAACAGTAGACTATTCTTACAGTCCCGACTATAATGTGTTTTATACTCCAGGCCAGTCAACTCGATCGTTCAGACCTATAGTGTGGAATATTTCGGTACCAAATTGAAATAAGAATTGGTACCCAAATAGTACAATTCCAACAACATTTTCATGGCTGCTACTTATAAGTATATGAGAGTTAAAGAGAGTAACATATAAAAAAACAAAATACAAAAAAGCAGTGAGTGTGTTAAAATGCCAAAGGGGGGAAAATGATGGTTGGCATCAGTTTGAAATTGCTTTACTGCTGAAATTTTACATTTTCGTCTGACATCTCTAACACGCTCTCAATACACCATATAGATCCCTTTAAGCATACTACATATTTGTCATTTTCTTTAAAGCGAAAAATAAAACGAGTAGAAAAAGGAAACAAGGCGTAACGGGTTAATGCCATAAAGGTTCATCTCCTCTTTTTTTTTTGTTGCTTTAAAATTTTACAAATTTCGTTTCTTAAAAATGGGTTGTTTTGGGAAGGGGGGTGTACCATAAGAATATAAGTAATATTTTCTATAGAAATTTCCAATTTGCATATTTAGATTTAACTATTATAGAATATACATGTGTCTATGATTTTGTATCTCTTTGTATAGTTGCCAGCAACCAGATGAGTATATTCAAAATATATATTTTGTTGTTGTTCCTTCCTTCTGCATTCGTTTGACAATTTATACAAAATCTATATATATAAAAATGAATGTGTGTTTGTTTGTATGTTTGTATGTTTGAACGTTATAGACTACTAAACGGCTGAACCGATTTTCTTGAAATTTTCACAGCATATTCCTGCATGTCTGGAATAGGTAATAGGCTACTTTTTATTTCGAAATTTCAAGTGGGCGATGAGCCACGCCCACATTAAGAAAATATAAAATCTGTATATTTTAGATAATATAACAGTTAGAGTCCTCAAATTTTGTCGGAGCCACTTTAGTGTCAATATGATCATTTAGGACAAAAAGTAGGCGGACTAGCATTAGGGGGCGTGGTACCTCTCATATAAATTAAATACAAAAATTCGTTTATCTGGGAAACTAATAGAACTAAATTCTTAAAATTTAGCACGAAGAACTTTAACATCCATATAAACATTTTGGGTAATAAATTGGCGGACTACCCATGAGGGGAGCGGCACCTCCCATATTAATTAAATACAAAAATTCGTTTATCTGGGAAACTAATAGAACTAAATTCTTAAAATTTTGCACAAAGAACTTTAACATCCATATAAACATTTTGGGTAAAAAATTGGCGGACTACCCATGAGGGGAGCGGCACCTCCCATATTAATTAAAAACAAAAATTCGTTTATCTGGGAAACTAATAGAACTAAATTCTTAAAATTTTGCACGAAGAACTTTAATATTCATCTGAACATTTTTAAGGAAAAAAGAGCGGACTTTCATCTGGGGGGCTTGGAGCCCCCATATGAATAAAATAGAAAAATTCGTATATCTGAGAAACAATTAGAGCTAGAATCATTAAATTTTACTTGAAGAACTTTGACATTCACCTGAACATTTAGAATATAACGGGCGGACTTCCAATGGGTTACTTGGTACCTCCCATATGAATTAAATACAAAATTTCGTTTAACTGGGAAACTAATAGAACTAGATTCTTCAAATTTTGAACAAATTATTTTAATAATCATCTGAATATTTTGGAGGAAAAAGGGCGGACTTTCATCCGGGGGGCTTGAAGCCCCCACATGAATTAAATTCGTATATCTGAGAAACTATTAGAGCTAGAATCTTAAAATTTTACATGAAGAACTTTGACATTCATGTGAACATTTAGAGAATAACGGGCGGACTTTCAATGGGGGGCTTGGCACCACATATATGAATTAAATACAAAATTTCGTGCATCTTGGAAACTCTTATATTATTCAAATTTTTTGTAGATAGATAGAAATTGGCGATAGATAGAAACTGGCGAACTTGCAATAATTTGCTTGACATCTTTTATATGTAACATATAATAAATCTGGTATTTATTTATACATATTCCTTTTAGGGTAGCAAAGCACACTGGGTATAGCTAGTTATACTATATAGTATAATAGACATTCATTCATTCAAAACAATATATATATTTCTCTTGAATTGCTTTCCATATTATTTCTGGCTATAATTTAAGTTTTATATATTATTATAAACTACATAGTAGAGAAATTTTGTGTTATTTTTATTAAATTTTCTTCGAAATATTTTTTTAATATTAAGAAAATATTGATGTTAAATTGTTTATAAGAAAATGTTGAGAAGATTTCTCAGTTATATAAAGAAAAAGGAATTATTAGGTGGAAATTTCTAAAAGAATTTCTATTATTTTCGAATACACCGTGTACTTAAGCTTATCTGAAGATCTGGTTACATATTCCTAACAGCTTTTGCTCTATGCTAGCTTTTAATTCAATCAATGATATCCAGAAGTGGCCCTATAAGCGAGACTTTCTAGCTAAACCTTTTCTTTGATTCTGTTGGTTGGGCGGGCTGTACGATTTCTTATA